CCTCACAGCCCGTGCGACTAACCCCTCCTCTGGCCTCCCCCGCTTATTCACCTCCCCACACCACCGCCACGCCGTTCGCGCTCTTCCCCGATTCTCACCATTCGACCTGTTCTTTTCTCATTTTGTGCTATCCCTAGCACTCCTACCTCATGTCTTTCCTCCTCACACCATGTCCGCGCCGTCACCTCTCTTCCCTGATTCACACCATCCGACCCATTCTCGCCTCATATTCTGATGTCGCCGCCCCGTACTACCTAATTCTACCTGTACCACCTAATTCTCCCTTCTTTCACCTTCACCAGTCCGCCTTTCCTATCTCCTTCCTGTTTCTTTTCGCATACTCCTCTCGTTCTCACGCTGGCGTTGGAGCTGAACCGGCGCGGCGCTACACTCCCGTGCACTCAAAACATCTCCTGGGACGCGTTCATGACTCATTTTCTTGTATCGTCTTGACATCGTTTTAGTACCCCACGTGACTTTTTGTGAACAATCAAGATCTCTGTGAGAATTTTTGATGGTGTGACTGATAGTGTTCATCCTTGCAGTTTACGAATCAACAGAAACATCCATATAACGACATGTTGAAATGCAGATAATTTTTCTCGGACATATTGCCACTTGTGAGAATTATAATTCAATATTTCCATAATTATGGATATCCGCTTGAATTGTATATCACTTGGAGTTTGGGAATCGAAACTTTCTCAGAAACATGAAATTATGTTCTGTTATTAGAAAGCCAAAATAACATTATGACTATCTAATAATTTCAAAAGAATATAGATAAATACTCCTAGTGTAATACTTGAATTGCTGCTTGCTAAGCCTCGCTTGCACTCGCGATGATATAGGCAGGCAGGGCGTCGCAGTTAAAGCAGCAAAAGCATATCACAAACTATTTAAATTTATTGAGAAGACTGCAGGATAGATGATCAGCACAAGTAAAAATAAATGACAGAATATGTTTTAGCAAATGTCGAAGCAAGAGTCCTGTACTTACACAGAAATGAAGTTATACAGAAATCAAGTTACATCCAAGTGCCGTGGAGACCTCCGTTCAAATAAACGCTAACTCAGACGCCAGGCGGGGCCCCTGGGTGTATTTTATAGTACTCAGGGCTTTGTTCATCATACGCTCCCACTTGGGTGGCATATGGCCTCCCTTCACCAAACATGACGTGGCTACAGTGCGTCGTCCAAGCCGCCTCTCTGTGCTCATGCATCTACTCCGGACATGTCGTCCGTCACCTTGAGGGCTTACTCTTAAAACTGAGGGCTGCTAGCGGGTGACTTCATG